ACACACACACACACACACACACACACACACACACACACACACACATACCCGAATCACAACAATTTAGCTTAAAGATCTTCATTGCCTTTAGTTTCCATTCTGGAGAAGGACAATACTTCATTCCATGAAGTCGAATAACTGTTCCAGTGAGCTGAGCAGAGGAGTTTGATTTATAGTTATGTTTTGATTCTTTTTAGATTGGTTTGTAGACAGAAAAGCATCTGAAGAAAGCAGAAACAAAAAGAAAATTGATCATTTTAAAGTTACTTTCCTCGTAAAGAAGGGATGGGGGACAGAACAATAAGAAAATAACTGATAGGTTAATATTCTGTCGCTTTAGGTTACCTTTTTTGTGGGTAAAGGATTAAAGCAGAGGGAACTTTAGTATCACGACAATTTGCCACTTGAAGCATGCACCGGTCCTGAATTAGATCCTCACCACCAAAAAGCAAAAACAAAACAAATAAACAAAACAACTAGCCAGTTTGGAAATTCTGACTGTTACCTCTTGAATTCGGATTTCAAGGAAGGTCCGAAAAGCAGCTGAGTTTCTCAGTGGGTAAGATGGAACTTTAGCACGAGTGACTCCATTTTAATTTTTAGCCTGGTTCTGTGGGGGCCCAGTGCAAGAACCGAGTCTAGACCTATGACCCAGGGCTGGGGATGCAGCACAGTGGTAGAGTGCTTACCCAGCACACACAGAGGGGGAAAAGGTACAGAAATGGCTGGGTATGGGGGACCACGCCTGTCATCCAGCCACTCGAGAGGCTGAGGCAGGAAGAACTCAAGTTGGAGACCAGCCTGGGCAACTTAGCTTTCTAAAAAGAAAAGCAAGCAAGCAAGCAAGAAAGAACCCCACCATATCTGAGACTGTGACTGGCCTGGCTTGAGGACAGTGGTGGCCCACGGTAGTGCCCTGGCTCCCTGCCCCTTCCCTGGTCTGCAGCTGCAGCCCCCACTCCTCAGTGAAGCCTGCTTCCCCGTCCTGCCTCATTAGCCCCGTGGCTCACCCTCTAATATAGACTTTAGTAATTTGTTAAGATCCTTGTTCAGCTCTCTCCACTACGATGCAGGCTCCATGAGGCAGGGAATATTGTCTGTCTGGCTTATTAACATGCCCCAGTGTCTGCAACCGTGCCTGGAGCACATGGCTCATAAAAGTACTTGCTAGGGAATGAACAAATGTACCTTCCCCCCAACCCGCAAATGTGGGGATTGAACACAGACTCACTCTACCACTGAACTACATCCCAGTCCTTTGGGTTTTTTGATGTTGTTTTGTTTGTTTACTTAAGACAAGATCTCACTAAATTGCCCAGGCTGACCTCAAACTTGCAATCCTCCTGCCTCAGCCTCCTGAGTCCCTGGGATTTAGGTTCCAGCCAAATGAATAGTCTGGATTATTAATCTCCCTTCACTAGACTGTAATCCTCCCCTGAGAGCAGGAATTTTTACATTTAGCCTTTTAGTTTTTACCCCGCCTAAGCAACAGATAAACTCAGTACCTAGAACAGTGTCTCACACCCAAAGCATCCTCACTGGTTATTCGTTGGCTTGATGAATCAATGAATCCTTGTGACCATGCTGAGTGTCACCAGCACTCTATCTCCATGGCAACAGAGATTCATTGATTCACTTCCAGGAATGGAATTCTGCTGTGGCTCATAAATATCCACAGGCTCTCCTAACCTGGAGTGGAGGTGGAACCTAATGTAAAACTCTAATAAAATATAGGGTATAGCTGGGTATAAAGCAATAAAATATGGCTGTCCCTTTTTTTAACAAATGGTGCTGGGAAAATCTATTCTTCACATGATGAAGAATGAGACTAGACCCATTAGCAATTAGGGAAATGCAAATCAAAACTACACTGAGATTTCATCTCCCACCAGTCAGAATGGCAGCCATCAAGAATGCAGACAGTAATAAATGTTGGAGAGAATGTGGAGAAAAAGGAACACTTTTACACTGTTGGTGGGACTGTCAATTAGTACAACCACCAGGGAAATCAGTATGGAGGTTCCTCAAAAGACTAGGCATAAAACCACCATGTGACCAGCTCTGCCACTCCTTAAGTGTTTATCCTGAAGAATTAAAGTCAGCATACGATATTGATCCATGCACATCCATGTTTATAGCAGCACCATTCACAGCAGCCAAACTACAGAACCAGCCTAGGAGTCCATCAACAGAGGAGTGGATCAAGAAAATGGACCAATGTGGTATATACACTCAATGGAGTTTTATTCAGCTATAAAGAAAAATGAGTTGTGTCATTTTCAGAAAAATGGATGGAACTCAAGAGCATTATGTGGAGTGCAATTAGCCAAGCTCAGCAGGTCAAGGGTCATGTGAAAGCTAGAGAAGAAAAAGAATCTCATGAAAATCAAAGGGAGATCAGCAGAGGAAAGGAACTGGAGGGTGGGCGGTGGGGAGGGAAGGAGGAAGTGCAGGAGTGATATTGGCCAGATTATATGGTTATATTGTTATATTGTGTGCATGTACAAATATAACAAATCTCATGTACAGCTATAATGCACCCATTTAAAAATGTGGAAAAAATAAGACTGTCCACATGAAGTCACTGTCCATGGTGGGGGGGCGGGGGGGGGGACACAATGGAGTCAGAGTTGATAGCTGTACTTGACGTAGAACAGCAGGCTTTGAAGCTCTCCTCTGACTCTATGGGTGCTGCATACAGCCTGCCAGGGTCCTCCTGCACTGCACTCTGCTTGACCTTGCATCGTAAGGAAATGCAGCTCCAGGCTGACAAGGACATCAAGGGCCCCAGATTTGGGGATATGCATTCGCCTTCCTGCCCACTTGTATAGACGTTACACTTTCGTTCAATTTTTTTTTTTAACCTCCATATGCAAACCTCCAAACCAAACCTTTGATCTTGCCTGGCTCTGGATGCCTCCATAGGACTCGTTACCATGGAGATGATCATGTATACTTCACTTAATTGTGTAAACAGCACACAGTCCTGTCCATCTTCATCTCTCCGGCGAGCGGTTTCATTTTTCCCTTTGACACTGTAAGTTTTGATCTTGCCTTCAGTGAATTTAGAGCTCCATGCTGAAAGACTTGGAGGTTTCAAGTCAACAATGAAATTACATTTCTCTTGATGAATTAACCGGCCTCCTCCTAATCCAATATTCAATTAATTCAGATGGAGAAGGGGCCATCTTTAACAAGCTGGAACCTGAATTCACAAGGAGATCAGAGTTTCAATTTCAATTTAATTATCTGAAACTTAGGATTGCTTTTATTAGAGTTCAGATGACAAAAAAAAAATCTTTTTAAATAAAAAATATTCCCTGAGAACAGTTTCTGAAGAATATTAGGTGACTTCTTCCATAATAGCTCTTCATGCAACTGAGCAGCCCAGTATGTTCACTGTTCTTGAGTGATGTTGCCAAATAAGATATAATATTTAGGATATACTCTTACTAAAAAAAAAAAAAAAATTTGCTTTTTCTGAAATTCAAATTTAACTGGACAGTCTATATTTTTATTTGCTAAGTTTGGCAATGCTATTTATGAGACACAGTTTGCCCACCCAATTCTCCATAAGCCATTCAACTTTTTCCTGGTTCCCAGGAAAACCAAGGAGAGTCTGTTAGAAAAGAGAACAAGGCACCCAGAGCCGAATGGGTGGGCTGAGGGGTGAGCAGGCCCAGCTCAGATCTTGGGTGCGGTTCCTTAGCACAATGTGAGGTCCCTTGAATGGGTGTAGCAAACAAAGACCTCTCTCCAGCTTCATGCAGGATGGAGTGGGGAAACAGTGCCACCCCACCCGGTGATCTTAAGGCCAAGGGGCCAAGTGGTCTTTCTTTCCATGATGTGGAAGTGTCAACCGCTGTACGGAACACAAGGTAGTGTGGCTCTTATGTCTCTTGTGGTGTCCCAGGTCCTGACTGTTGGGGTAGGTCTGGGGTGGGGGTGGGCTGCCCAGCAGAACAGAAGGCCTCTTGCATTTGAAATTCAAATCTTCTGAAACCACCCCCAAGCCTGGAGTCTTATCAAGGAGAGCACAATGTCACCGGACCCGCCACCCAGCTGGCTCCGAGATGGCCATCTGGGATGGCCGTGGGTCTAACAGCTGTCCTCCCTGGAAAAGCGAGTCTATGAAGTCACCAAAGTGCACCTAGCAGGGCGCACTGAAGTCCTTATAGCCACCGCAGCGATCCCAGATCGTGTTTCAAACTGCTGGCCAAGCCCCTAGTTCCCACGCGGAGGCCCGGAGAAAACGGGTGATGGGGGCTGGGAGGAAAAGGATCTCAGGCCATTACACCTAAGAAAGGAGGAGGGGCGGGGAGAGTATGGCTCCTTCTGCAGAGTTTTATAAGATAATTGCTCTGTGTGCACAAAGGACCTTCAGGGAGGCCAAGAAAGACAGATAAGGTGTTCCTGGCCGATAGTGAGCTCAGAGGTCTTGGTGGCCTTATCATCGGGGCTAAGGTGCTGACGGGGTTCTGCAGGAATTCCCTGCGTGGATAAGAGGCTCCAGAGGCCTCCGTGCCTTTCTCCTTCACTGGGGCGTTCCCGCTTTTCACCTTGGTTTTCTTTTTCTTTCTGTGTCTTTAGTCCTGATGGGGAGCTGGAGAGACTATGTTTACTGTTAGTGCACGTCATGTGGAACCTTATATTTCTTTTCTTTCTTTTTTTTTTTTCCATTTAGAAACAAGAAGTGTACAGTGAACACCACTATTATGCATAAGTATTATGCACCAATAAAAAATTAATTAGAAGGCAGGTGCCGTGGTTCACACCTGTAATCCCAGCAACTCAGGAGGCTAAAGGAAGAGGATCTCATTTTGAAGCTAGCCTGGGCGGCTTAGCAAGTCCTTGTCTTAAAATAAAAAACCAAAAGGGCCAGGGATGTGGCTCAGTGGTAGAGTGCCCCTGGGTTCAATGCTCGGCATCAGAAAAAAAAAATGAATTAATTAGAAAATTAAAGAAATGCATTGATAGGTCTCCTTTAAAAGAAAAACAAAAACAAAAACAAAACAAAACAAAAAAAACCCTCTGGGGACTGGGGATGTGGCTCAGGAGTAGAGTTCTTTCTCAGCATGTGGAAGGCCCTGGGTTTGATGCCCAGTAGCATAAAAAAGAAGGAGGAGAAGGAGAAACTGAAGGAGGAGGAGAGGGTTCTCCTAAGAATTTCTGCAGGTTGATTTCATTTCTGCAGGTTGATTTCATTTCTGCAGGTTGATTTCATTTCTGCAGGTTGATTTCATTTCTGCAGGTTGATTTCATTTCTGCATTGTGCTTACCTGTTTCAATTTTCCTTTATAGGGATCTGGGGGCCCTCAGTCAAATGATTCCCCACCTTTGATCAAAATAATATTTCTGAAGTCCTCACATTTCTCTTTCAGCCATAATTATTTTAAAACTCCTGCTTTAATGGCCATTAACGATTTAGACAATAGTCTTTTATATGAAATTAGTATTTACACACATACTGTACATGTGTATATAAACAGACTATATACGCTTGAAAACGGACATGAATCTCAACGTCAGGCGGTCTACCTAACTTGAGTAATGGATTCTTTTTTTTTTTTAAGGTCACTTTTGTTGTGGTGAAGGACCCATAACAACTTCCATCTTAAACCTTTTCGGTTGCCCAGTTGAAGCAGGTCAAGTCTACCCACACTGTTGCAGCACCCACCTCTAGGACTCTTTCCTTCTTGCAAAACTGAAACTCTGTTGCATGAAACACCTTCTTCTCCCCCACCCCCACCCCCGGGGCCCTGGCAGCAGCCATTCTGTTCTCTGCCTCTGATTTTGAATGACTCTAGGGATCTCAAATAAGTGGAAACCCAGAGCCCTAGTCCTTCGTGACTAGCTTCCTCCGCTTAAGGTAACATCCCAAGATATATCCATTTTGTAACCAATGTCAGAATTACCTTTCTTTCTAAGAATACATAACATGGTCACGGTGGTACACTCCTGTATTTCTAGAGGCTCTGGAGGCTGAGGCAGGAGGATTGAAAGTTGGAAGCCAGCCTCAGCAACTTAGCAAGGCTCTAAGCAAACTTAGCAAGACCTTGTTTCTAAATAAAAAAAATAAAATGGGCTGGGGATATGGCTCAGTGGTTAAGCACCTCTGGGATTAATCCTTGGTACCAAAGAAATTTAGAAAAAAACTCTTAAGAATGAATAATATTCCAACATGTTCACTACACGTTGTTCATACCTGGCAGACTAGGGTTGCTTCTACCTGTGTGAATGATGTACAAATATCTCTTCAACACTCTGCTTTCAACTCTGCGGGACATAACCCAGAGGCAGAATTGCTGGCTTATGTGGGAATTCTATTTTTAATATTTCTAGGCACTTGAAGCTCCACCGTGTACGAGGGCCCCACTTTCTGCACCTCTTTGCCACACTTGCTATTTTCTGTGAATTTGGGGGTTTTGTTGTCTTTGTGTGTTTTTTTATAGTTGCCAACCTAATGGCTGAGAGGTGGCATTTCACTGTGGTTTTGACTTGGATTTCCCTGATGCTCGGTGATATTAAACATCTTTCCCGGTGCTTTCTGACCATATGTGTATCTCCTTTGAAGAAAGTTCTATTTATAGCCTTTGCCTGC